CAGTTAAAAGCTCCTCTTTGTGAGATAGAAGACATTATGCAAAAGACCACCAAAGTTTAAACATATTCATAGCTTTTTCCCATGAATGAGTGAAACGAAAGATGTGACTTAGGCAACATCTGCATTCTTCTCTAAATTCATATTGCCAGTTAGGTCTCCAGTGCCTATTATGATGGTACAGCTAAAAGTCATTGTAGGAGCATTGATCCAAACATAAAAACAACAGTGAGAGAAGCTTCATTTCATATACATTTAGCATCTGACATATTTCCTCATTTGTGCATTAATCAGTAGCAGACATATCTGAGCATCCTGCTACAGGAGGTGATTTGACTTTCACAAATTTCCCTAAGAGCAGAAACATCATCAGGAACAATTTCAAGGAAATAATTATGGTCTAGACAGATTTATGACTTCTAAAGACCTAATCCAAAGCACATTAATGTCAGTGGAAGGACTCCCATTGACATCAAAGGCCTTTGGATCAATCCCCAACTGCTGTGGGAATAAATTCAGAGCAATAATGATGGTGGACTAAATGCACACTTGCAGTTGAAATGTTATCACCCAGACCTTTTTATTCCTCAAATCAGATTAAAAAGTCATTTTCTGCTATTTCACAATTACTTCCAGATGCACATCATCTCAAATGGCATTTTCATCCATCTGTATGAACCAACGTGCACAGAGATAGAGAAGTTCTACACTGCCTGAACTAATAATACAAATGAAAACCACAAGGGAAAATAATTTTGGAGATGATGAAGTTCATGTTTTAAATGCAGAGTGAGAAACCTTGGGCTTCATTTGTTCCTTCTAACTACTTTGGGATAGAGCTCCCAGGTCCACCACCTTATTTACTGCCATGGTAGATTTCTTCTTTTCCAGTATTTTTCTCTAGTCCTTTAAATAAAACAAAAGAATACACCTAAATCAGCATTGACTCAAACTTGGCAGCCTAAAAACTGTCAGAAATGTCAACTTCATATACTCTCTGCTTAATAACAGTTCTGCTGTCCCTTCTGTCCTCTTAAATGTCTATTTACATGCTAAATAATTTGAAGCATCACTCTTCTCTGACCATGTTAATCTGGTTTCATTCCCTTAGCAGTCAATAACATTTTAGACTGTAAAATGAAATGCCAACGTTGTGTGTGAGTGGCAATCCATTCAAGGTTTTACACAGTCAAACTCAACTCTGAGATGTGACTGATCAGTCATCAACATCATGTGTTAACTCTGAAGTGCATGCTGTGGGAATCATGCATTTTTTATTCACTCCCCTAGCAACACTTTGGGTAGGCAGGTTCAGTTACCAGGTATTCATTGTGATATGAGCATGTTACGGACTAGTTAAACTCTGCCTTACCAAATTAGTTTCAGGAAGGTTAAGAACTTTCTTTAGGGAATTGTATGTAACACTTTTTTGTCAAATAACACACATTTCCTAGCATAATTCCATCTTTCCATTCCTAATGAATATCTGACCTATTACCTCTGTAACAGGGTCTCTGTACCCTTCTCTGCACTTCAGAAAACAAGACTTTTTTTCTCCTTCTTCAGTTACTATGTGCAGGAAATGAGATTATTAGTGACTGGGTAATGCTACTACCTAGATTCAAAAAATAAGAAGGTAGAGAACAATTAATTGTTGGATTTTTTTTTTTTTTAATATATTATGCTGATCAGTGGTTATTAAGAGGATCTGAATGGGAAGGGAATTCTGGTTGAAAGAGGAAGGCAATATTGACAAAAAGTATCCAAGGAATTAAAATGGTTCACAGTTCGTACATTTTCTGGGCTACACTTGCAATGGAAATGGTGCTTTAGGCATGTCCTACCCACCACCTGCGTCACAAAGAGGTATTTTTAACCTGGGTTTCCTCAAGAATCAAAGCTTATGTGAACAGATTGTGTACATGTGTGCAACTTTCATTCCCTCTCGCCATGTCTAATAACTTGGGACTCTCTTGGCCAATTCAGTCCAATCTGCAGAAGGGCAAATGTCACAAAGTCATTAAATTCTTACAAGCTTTGTGGAAATAGGTGTCCAGACAGAGGGGGAATCCTATTATTACCCTAAGTCAGGGGCATCAAAAAAATCACTCTGTCATTCATCCTTCAGCTGCAAGTACACAGGAGACTACTTTTTAATCTGGTGGTGTTCCAATATTTTCTTCCATGAAAAATTAACCCTGTATTTTAATACATCAGACACTAGTCAGCCTCTCAGCTTACTCTAAAACATTTTTTCAAGACACACCAAAGGCAGCAACATACTTTAGTCATGATTTGGCACCATCTTTTAGATGAGTTCACACTTCAGTGCATTTTGTTATCAGAAGCGCATGAGAACATTGCACCTGGAATATATGGACTGAAAAAGTATGAGCACTTCAATTTAAATTTACTGACTTTCATTAGTTTGACACCAGTAAACAAGTATTCCATCAATTCTCAAAGGTAGAAGGCAACCCATGGGAATATGTGCAAAACCCCTTATGCATTAAAATATATGTAAATTATGTTAATAGGGAACTGTCCAAGCAAAAAAACCACAACCAATTAGTCGGGGAAATAACACATTTAAGAAAGTTAAATTATCAAGATTATAATTTCAGGGATATGAACTTCGCCAGCACCAAACCATGACATTACTACCGTATTTTTTTCCCCGCTTTACATCTTATTGGTGTGAATATACACAGTAGATAACACCATAGCCTTGAACGAGGTAAAGATGAGAAAGTACCTTTGCTGGTAATACTGAACTTCACTACCAGGAAAATTTTGTCTTGCCTTTACATGCATCTTTAATGTCGTTCCTCTCCCCACCACTTCCATCCCAGCTCTTAACGGTTTTTAATGCCTTTTCAACATGTTCAAGGCAAAATTCAGTTTGGCCAGCTGTAGGCCCCTTCAAGTCACAGGAGATGACAGAGAATGACACACTACTTTTACAGCTGAATAGTTTAGACAGTTTGCTGGATTTTAAAAGGGTACATTAGTTTTACCGGGGTGCGTCAGGTAAGATGAGACAGTCCTCTTTTCCCTATGAATGTATTACAAATTTAACCAGACGTCTCCTAGGTCAATTATTCAAAGCAAACTTACACACTACAAAACAACAGCATAAACAGATAAACATATACATAAACCAATATATTAAGTATACTTTTCTTCAACATCAACAAATTGTGGTATTATTTTTACAATGAAAACATGGGGGAAAATTTCAGTATCAGCTTTTAAAAAATGATTTAGAATACCAATATAACTCGTTTGAGAGATGCAAATGTACGTGACTTTGAAAGCAATGTTTCGTATTAAATGCATTCCTTCAGAGCAAGAGAAAGCATTTGCTTCTAATGTTGCTTCCCCCAACATTTCACATCAATTAAAATAAAGTCAGAGAAAACATTCTGGTTTTTAGTTCCACATCCAAGGAGCATAGTACTGACACATCAGGCAATGCAGTTACTTCGCGAAAACATGTCTTCAGCCAGAATGGCAAAGGCAAGGTTTATGCACGATGGTAGGAAATGTACTACTCTTTTCCCCTTTCCTTCAGACTACAGCCATTGGGGTGCCGGTGACTGCTAGGGCAGAGGAAGGCATACAAGCAACTACCAGGACTACTGCTCCCGTGAACGTTGCTTTAACATCAGTGGACTGAATATCGTTAAGTAAAAATATTTTCCTCATAAGCTAGGTGAACTCCTTCCCCATTTTGTTATTACTGTCCAGAAAATTTATGAGACCATTGCTCTCCTCTTCTTCGTTCTACATTTCTGCAGTACATTAGGATATTTCTGAGCCTTTCAAGACTCTCCCTTGACTCAAATCCCAGCAATACATGCTTGTGGTACATAAATATTTGTTTATGCAAATATATTTTAATTCAAACATTTAATCTTGCCAGGTAAACATAAGAAAGATAATGCTGATGTACTTTTCACAGAAGACTTAGCTCACGGTTTTAATTTCCTGTTTTTATTAGCTTACCTCACTTGACGAAAATATTAACACATCTTGAGAAGTACATTTTATTTTCTGGTTTCTCAAGAAAATGCTTTGTTGCTACCACCTCATTAGAGGCATCAGCTTTTAGCTAGAACAAGTTTTAAACTGAAAGAAGCTATTGAAAAAATGGTGCTGATGTGCCACGACAATACTTTAGATATGAGCAAGCAATATATAAAGTTGTTTTTATGCTGAATATCAATATGCAATTAGAGAGAGACAATGTAAGTAGTGCTGGGCCTCTGCTGAGTACTCTTTCAGCATTTGTAAGCTCCTTTCTTGTTTTATGTTGCTGGAGTCTATCAAACAACTCTCATGTTGACACACTCAAGTAACCAAAATGAGCAGCTATAAATACAGTCAAAGCAAGAGATAACAATAAGCAGAACAACTAGGTCCTCATTTGAAGATGAAACAGCATTTTTGAGTGAGCAGTATGTGATTAACCCACTGTATGTGGGGTCAATATGATTTATTCTCACAGCAATGCAGCCAGTCTTAGCCCTGGGCCTCACTTGCTACCAAAGACATGAGCCTTCCTCAAATCAACCCTCCCCTATCTCTAGCTAACACTCTGAGCTCTTACTTAGGAAAATTAACTATCATGTCCTTCGTTTAAATTGTTTCCATCCCCACTTAGAAAGAACTGTTAGCATAACAGACAGTTTAACCAAGTGTGCTTCCTAGTCTCCAGTCCATCTATCTGTCGCCTGCAATGCTCCAGCAGCCTAAAAGCAGATTTTGAAAACCAGAGATGGGGAAAAAAAAGGAGTGCTTATTTTGTCTAAATTCTGAGTATTGCTAGAACAGTACTCTCTTGGCCCAATACCAAAGAATAAAAAGCAGTACCCCATTACATTTTAAGACAATCAAGTGGTTCAAATTAGAAGGACAGTACTGGCTTCAGTTCAAACATTTAATAGAAATGCCACATTTCATTAAAAAAGCCACTTTGCATGGAGGGACAAACCTCTTACCTTTTGTAGCTATTCGAACACACTGAGTTTTGGTCTCCTGTTGAGGAGGGAAAAGAAAAGAGTCAGATCAGGTTGCTGCTTCTTGCCCTCCCTGGTCCATAAATTCCTCCTAGATCTGCTGATCAGCTGGGGCAACCCAACAAGGTGGCTCAGGGCTCTGGGCTTAGCACGGGAGGAGGCTGGGTGATGTTGCCTTTACAAAAGCTGGATGAAACCTAGACATTGGTCTGTACTACTCAGGACAATGATAGGGAGAAAAGGTGCAGGACAGCCCAAACATAGCAAAATTTCAGATTATTCCAATCAAATGGGAATCATGCCATAAGAATACAGAGAGAGGTTGCAGTGGAAGAAAAGGGGAGGACTGGTGCTCCTATTTACGTCCTGGCACAGAAATCCTGAGCCAGTGTTGACCTCCAACAGTGCCATGCAGTAACAAAGGTACACTTGCTCAGCACTGTCTCCAAATTGATGTCTTGCTGCATCCTGACAGTCTTGAACAGAGTAACCTGAAGCACACCAGCAAGGTGCTCCCTCACGCTTCTGAGTGCGGAATGAGCACAGAAGCAGCCCAGGTACCCCTTCACATACGACACAGTTAATCTACAACCTATATGATCTGCCCAGGAAAGACAGTGATTTGACAGCCATGTGCTTCAGAAGCTGCACATGCAAAGACAATTTGTATGTATTTTACTTTTTTTCTCCCCCTTCAAAAGGTTGGTCAGCAATTGAAAAAAATTAATAGAGAAATGACTTGGTTATGCACAGTTTGGACAATTTGAACAGACAAGGGTCAGTCATAAATGGGTTTTCTGACGTTTTTGTACAATGTGCAGTCATTTTAAAGGCAAACATACTGAAATAGCATAAGGTTGCATGAGAGGATGCAGCTGCTATTGTATTAGATCACTCTAAACAGTATTAGCATGTAATTAGAAAATATAATAATGACAGTTTCATTCTGTAAAATATGCTCCTGCCAGTCCTGCACCCCCCAGCACTCCTTCCCTGAATATATCCCCTGGGATCTCTCTCCTCTTGATCATTCCTGGGCAACAGGTAAAATATGGTGATGCTGTTTCATAAACACAGCTTGTAAAGAACGAGCAAAACTCCGAGTTGGGGCTTCCCTTAAGTATTCCATAAAGACAAATTTTCAATCTAAATGAAGCCCGGCAAAGTTTATCCATATAATCTTACCTAATTAGCATTCTCCCCAGTTACTGGATTTATTTGTCCACTTCTGTTCAAAATGTCTGTGAGGATCACAGAGTAACCCTCACCCCAACCCTATAGTGTGTTTCAAAGCATACTTTACTTCCCCTTGACTATTTTGGTGATCCCACTAGTTTATAGTAAAGCACCTGTTTAAATATTCTGCAGCTCAGAGGTTATCTTACAATCGCTAGATCTCTATCCCTGCAGAATGCAGTGCAATCCCCCCAAACCTCCCCCCAAATCCCTCTAGGAACAGAAATCTGATCCAAGGTTTTAAATCATACCAGAGAAAAACATTTTATGATTAAACTCTCTGACAAACTGAAATCAAGTTCAAGTTTAATAAAAAACGAATGTGTTCTTCCCTTATGTTCTACTTATCTGTCAAAATGTAAAAGCCAAAATAAAGATCTATTTTTGTATTTAATATTTTATTTTCTCTTCCCCTCTCATTTATTTCTTGGGCAATGAAACAAATTTCCTTACAATTTAGTCTGCTGGAAGCCAATGAGAGCAAAGGGAATTATTTGTAGGAGATGAGGGAAATATGGATGAGTGTCTAGCAGTTACCTTCTATTTTGCTTTGATAGCTTCATACAAGTCTATAGATAAGAATTAAAAAGAGGTAATGGTCTCTTCCATCAGAAAAAGCATCCAGTTCTCAAGCAGCTCCAGTACAGTTTCATTAGCTCCTGCTTTGTCCCCATTCTGACTTGGTGCATATGCAATTTTCATAAACATAGGTAGAAGGTGAGATTTTCTTCAAAAGACTCCAAGGCAAGGCTGCCTGATGGCTAAGATTTGTTTAGTCACCACAGAGGCCCAAACGTAAGGAAGGGTAAACATAGCTTCTGCTCCTTTCTGATGGCTCTGGTGCATCTCAGCGGCTATCAATCTAGCTGTCCTTCCAAGTTCCTTTCTGACCTGCCTGGACACTTCATATGGAGACTCCTATGGACATATTACTGCAACTTCCTTCAGTTTTCTGAACTATAAATCAAAATTTTAAATTTTTAAATATCTGAAGCTTCTGTGTCTACCACGTCTTCCCTCCTCACCACTCACTTTCCTCTCCCTCATTTTCATTTCTGAGAAGAAAAACCATTCAAGAGCAACAGCACGGGGCTTGCAGAGCCACAGTTGTTCCTCCCACCTGAAACCTCCCTCCCTGGAGCTTTTCCCCCTTCCGTTAGCATAGCCAGCCAGCAGCAGTACTCAGCGACAGAGTTAAAAATGAAATACCAATGAAGTAATGAAGGTGAGCAACAGCCATACTCAGCAGTGGAGCAAGCCTGAAGTACACCTTTTCAGAAAGGCTCTCGAAAACACACCATGCGCCTGGGGTTGGTTTTGCTCAAGCAAATTTTTACTTTTTATTTGACATTCAGTGCGAGAGTCTCAAAAAGTTTGTAACGTTTTATTAGCCCACTGTTTATCCTGCTGTAATTTAATCTTCTAAAGTGCGCAAGCACTGAGAATTGGGGAAAGGGCTGTGGATGTTATTTACCATGGAGGCAGAGTCACAGCACTGAAATTACTTCACTCAGACGATTACTACGAGATGTATTAAACTCTTGTCTCGTAGCAGTTACTATGACACAAGGGCGGTGTGAAATGTGAATGGCACACTGCCATGCTGCCACAGCACGGAAAGGATTACAGCAGTGCCCCTGCCAACACCTACTACGTCCAACTTCGACAGTCCTAATTGTCACCATGAGCATGTCTTTGACTTCTTCCATGAGAAAGGCGCGGTTGGTACTTACCTTCTCAACACTGCTCATGGCTTGGAAATAGATGTTGTAGCCTTTCCGAGGAGCCAGCGGCGGGTTCCAGAAGCCCTGGTAAGTCCTGTTGTCACCCACGGTAAAGGGGGCTGGCTCTGGCAGGTTTCCTGGGGGCAGCTCAGCAGCAAAGTAGTAGGGTGACCCTCCACTAAGAGCGGTCTGGTAGGTGACGGGGATTTGGTAGCACTCCATAGCACCCGTTTCTCGCTTTGTTCGGTGCGGGTGCAGCTCCTCAACAACAATCTGGTAGGCACTAGCGAGACAGAGGAAAAACAGCATAACTTTAAGGTCACCTGCTAGGGTGAAATGTCAAGTCTCATAAAAATATTAATCCAATTGCTTTGTGTAAACTGAATAAGAAAAGAGGGAAAGACAGCAGATGCATGGAAACCAAGAAGAAACAAAGGATTGAAATAGAGCAAAGCTATCTAATTCAGCCATTGGAAATAAGCAGCACCCATTCTTTTCAGGAAAAAAAACAACAGAAATCTATACACAACCTTTGAACAATGATTTTTTTTTTTTTATTTTTTTAGGGCTTTTTTCTTTTGAAGAAACACAGGACTCAATCTGACTTGAAACTACAATAGATTAAACTCTTGGCTAATCGGAAGCATCTGAAGTTAGCATTTTCCTTTGAAATTATATTAGAGAAAGCTGAGCTTCAAGGCCCAACATAATGACTGCCTCAAGGCTGTGCTTGAAGCACCAATTTGCAGTTGTCATATCATTAGAGACAGAATGTGCTGACAGGCTTCTCCACCTCTTGACCTTGCTGTGGCTTCTATCTTGGCTCAGAGCTATGCAGATCTAAAGTACAAGTGACATGCTGTAATACAAGCACAGATGGACAGAAATCTGTCCATTCCACCAAAATAGACTGCCTCATTCCTCTACAGTTGTCAATGATAAAACGTTACAAATTGCTGAAGCAGATGGCATTCGGCCTATTAAAACGCCATCCCAAACTCCCAATACCTCTCTTGAAATGGTCCATGGCTTGGTCACTTTTCAAAATCACCTGCTCAAAATAGAACAGGTAATTATAATTCTTCTTCCTCTTTTAGGGGAACTACCTAACTGCAGGATGTTACCAAGTCATTATCAGTTTTCTCTGCTGTGCAGAGGTACAGAGCTTACACACTGCGAGCAGGAGGCAATGCTTCAGTCTGTAAGAAAAAAAGTGGTTTTTGGGTTTTAAGAACTATATGTATGCACACACACATATACACACATGTGTATACATGCACACAATTTCTCATTTATATGCAGATACATTTGAGGACCTTATGAAAGATTAGTAAGAAAATATGCCTAAGCATGTAGACAAGACCTGAAGCTATTCAATTAAACTCACAGAATTGCCTGTCTTGGTTTTGTTTTAAAGCTTTCTAAACAGAAAAAGTAAAATTGAACAGAGTTCTCGTAGCGCCACTGCATTGCTGCAGGGACTCCGAAAGGCAAAGACAATCCTCCTCATTTCAGAACTTATGGGGCAGCATTAAATTATTTTGTCAATTTTCTCGGCTACTACAGCCCAGAAAACCCAATAACTGTAGTGGCAGAGATGAAGTATGACACTGGGGAATGGAAGAAAGGAGAGAAGAAAAAATAAGAAATTCGTTTCATGTCGGTCTTGAGCTGGAAGAAGTAGTTAGCATCCCCTTTTCCTAACACCTAAAAAATGAAGGAGGAAAGCCTCTTCCCTTTCAAAGTGACCAAGAGGAATATAAAAAGTCACTTCATTTTTGAAACTCTAGGTAAAAAGAAAAATGTAAACGAAAAAAAAAGGATGAGTTACTTCCAGGGATCTCTGTTTCTCATAAACTGTCTGTGAACTGAACTCGGTAATAAATCACCTTCTGTGGTAAACTCTGTGTATTAACCATGTCCAGCTAATGTGGCCTGCACCGACAAATCACTTCCACAGGAGCCCTGCGCACCCAGAATCTTTCTTTGTGCTTCAAAATAAACGTCCGAGCAAACAACCCGAAAAGCCTCGCCATTTTACAAACTTGACAGGATGTAAAATATTCAAAATAATTTTTTAATATTTTGTCTGAAGGGAAGAAATGACTACCGGCCTTCATCCCCTCCCCGGCTTGACCCTGGGCCCAGGTGGGGTGAAAACCACCGCTCCCGAACCGGGCAGCCAGCCGACTGGAGAGTACTGGAAACGCAGGCACCGCCTCGCTGCACCTCCCTTCTGGAGCCTTCCCTCGTGAGCTGCCAACCGGCCCGGACCGACACAAATTCATCTCTCCCACGTGCCAGGAGAGGTGGGAACTTGTCCTCTGCGACGCCTTGCCAACCCGGGAGGAGAAAGCCAGCAGGGAGAGCGGCAGGATGGTGCAGCGTCTGCACAAGATGGAGGCAACCGTCCCCTGGAACGGCCCGGTTTGCCCGGAGCCAAGATCTACCGCAGTCACCAAATTAAACCCCTTTCTCCCCTCCCTGCTCCTGCCCCGCCATTCTATAGAATGAGGGGCCAATGAGGTACCTTTTTTGTAGAGGCACGTGTCCTTTTTAGGAGTCAAAGTCTCTTTGGAGACCAAAACAAACCAAAAATCAAAGATGAAGGGCATGAGAGTTAAATAGTAGCAAAGTCTCTTAATGGCATTCTCTAAAATCATGCAGTAAGTTCTGAATGTGATATAAAAGGTATGGCAAAATTTTAAGCGTGAGATCACAGTAAAGTGTGACGGTTCTGAAAAATTTTTCAAATAAAAGTAATTTACATAAAATATGCTTCCAAAAATAATGCTTTTTGGGCGCCTACAGCTGAAAATCTACAAAATGTGGAAAATAAGAAATAGATATGCACATTGTAGCCATCTGCTTTTATAAAATTACTGTTAGTTAAAGAAAGAATAGCAAATGACAGAAAGTCTTTAAAATTTCCAATGAGGCTTTATTTATTTATTTTTAAATTTTCACAAAGTATCTTTTAAATAAAAGATGTGCCTATCCTCTTTGGAGAAAGGGGATCTGGCAGTATTTTTCATGCAACATTATAGGCTAACAAGACACGGAGGAATACAGTCATTTACCTCTGGGCCCTTTGTGATACCATCTGTTTAAACCCATTTGCTAAACACTATAGTGGCCCCAAAGCAGCACTGTTACTCTGTGTACACATAACAGTGTTTGGAAAGGACACCCTGCTGTAAGGTGTGAAGAAAGAAGCCGAAGTTAACTTTGCAACTTGAAAAGCAGGGTGTTCACTGGCTGCAAATGTCGTCTGGTATCAGGCTGTAAGTGAAAGTTTAAAGGCTATGTACTCTGCTTACCCTTGCATTTTTACATATTACTAATCCTAGCTCCAATTATCTTACATTTTCTACATATTTTTTGTGTTATGGTGGGAATTCAATTATTGAGAGAGCTGTCTTGTGACTGGAGCCGAGGGAATTCCTACAATAGCATTTTTTTTTTCCAGTCTTCCCATACAGCAAAGAGGAATAAAAGAAAGAAAGAGAGAGGTGTGTGAAGTCTAGATGACAATATTCCTTCTCCCCAATGACTAAATAAATTCTGAGCTATTCTGAAGAGTAATACAAATTTCAGAACCTGCTACATAAATTGTCAGGATTATAAAGGCCAAACAGGTGTCTGAGACAGCTAGGTAAGCAGAGAAAGTGTTGAAGATATTGCAGGTGAAGAGCTTCTCAGCTGAGATTTTGCATGAAGAAATTATTTTTCATGTCAAAAAACTCCCCCCCCCGCCCCCGAGAAAACCTGCACAGTATCTCCCTATTGACCAAGACAATTACAAACAGTCAAATGAGGGCCCCGCCAACAGATCTTCCTTTCCACCCCTCCCTAAAAATTCAGGCTCCCAAAGAGATATGGCAGTGATGAACATGTTGTTCATACTTCAGCCCTATTCTGACTAGGCTTTAATACCAGCTGGAGGTCTCCTTCTACGTGTCTCGTGGAGACAAAGCATCCTCTCCTTTGACAGTTGCCAGACTGACTGAAAGCCCAAGTTACAACCCCAGCTCTTGGAATTCCTGACTGACAACTAACTTTCAGCTGCTCCCTGCCATGGTGCACTTCATTAGTCTTGTTGCAAAATGAAAACATCCTGATTTAGCATATGGAGGTACAAGAAAAACACTTTACCAATCAAATAAAATGAATTTCAGTTGCCTATGCTGATTCTGATACATGCTCTTCATAATCCTCATCTGCAGCAGGATTTGAAAACAAAAGATTGTTTTGCTGGTGCTCAGTCAGGATCCCTTCAGAAAAACTACATCAACAAATCATATCTTCAAATGAATCACTGAAGCACCGCTGATGCTACCGACTGGGATCTCATCCACGAGATTGATGGTGAAATGGTACGCGCTTCACAGGGAGCCTGAGCCATCCAGCCTTGCCTCCCTTTGCATTTCTAGTTTGTAATTTGGTTTAAAACTTCAGGAGGCCGTAAAGAATGCTAGGGATTACACGGTAACACTTGACAGGGAAGATACCATTAGAGTCATGTTTAAACCGTGATGACTATGGCACCTAGTGTCTTAAAGAAATGATTGACAGCCGCACATAGATTATACTTGAGTTAAGGAACATCTGTTAACTTGAGTTAAGGAACATCCTCAGCTGATGGAGAAGCTGAGCTACAACAAAATCTGATCGTAATATACTTCTGTTTGTAAAAGCAAGACAGTATTAGACTAAGCTTTTTTTTTTCTCCTTTTCTAATTTTTTTTTTTTTTTTAAACATGGACCTACTGCTATTAAATAAAATGATCTTTTGACCACTTGCAGCTCCAGGGATTAGAGGACTGGGTGCAAACAAACCTTTTCAAAGAGCCAACTGTATTCTTCAGTGTCAGACTAAAGGACAGCATTTGAGTCCCTTTTACTCAATCACAGCTGCTGGCACGGCAATGCATTTTTCCTACCTACCTAGTAACACTCCTTATGGCAGCAAGCCAGCTTGTAGTGGAAACACAACTGCAGTGTGGATAGACCGAAGCTTCACTAAAACGCATCATAAAGTTTAGCAAAATGCATTGAATCAATTCAGAATTTCAGTGTGCTACATTTCTCTCCCCTATTAAGAAGCTGCTGAAAAATACCTGACTGCAATATGTGTACCTTCAGGAAAGGGAACGGGACCATGTCTTCTGCATTCCCCTGGAGAATGCTCCTCATTCAGAGTAAGGAATAAAACAAGTGTTTTGTTTTGAAAATAAAGTCCAGCTCTCTGGTTATGGCGGAGGACTTTCCTTGGCTTCCTGATGTTAGAAATTTAATGTACTCTCTCAGGTTTTAGAAATTAGTTGAAGTGGAGAGGGAAGATGGGAGACAGGAATAAAGGCGTATGCTTTTTTGAGAACATACTCAAACACCAGTTGTTAATACTCTATCAAACTACCCCATCAAACTATCTATTAACATTTAGTACACAGATCCTTTTTGCCACCTTCACGGGACAGTGAAAACCTCATGTCATAGGACTGAGGATGCTGTAAGGAAAACTGAGAGAATAAATGCGAGGTGGTGTGCTGCAGGTTTGCTCTGCAGTGTTACCTGCCTGAGAGGACAGTACAGAGAAACCAGCGCTCCCTGAGCTAGGTACCAGTAATCCTCTAGCCAAGTCCCAGCACACGACCAGTTCATGAAAGAAACCCCCCAGGAGAGAAACCCAGGATGTGAGACCGACCCCGCTCCGGGTGAGCGGTGGGACCGAGGGCGGGAGCCCGCTGCTCTCTGCAGAAACGTCCCACAGACCAAGCGGTGTAGAGGTGGCAAGATCCCAGCGGTGCCAGCAGGCGCGCGCCGGGCGAGCTGACGCACCAGCCCCCTTGGAGGACCAGGCGCAAGAACTGAAAGGTTTGGCGAGGACTAGGTGAGAGAGAGAGCACGTTTCTCAAACCGGGGCAGCTTTGGATACGGCCATCAGCAGGACACCTGGAAGGCTTTACAAGCACCTAGAAAAAGGTGTACAGTGAATTTAAGCACCTGTATAACTTGGGAGCACTTTCAGATCCCAGGTCTGGTTTCTACTGTATCAATTCAACAAAACCCCTATTTTAGGCATCCAAGCCCTGTACTGAATGCAGTCCTGTACATTTTATCATTTTACATGCTCAAAAAAATTCTAAGTTTGCTCCAGGGCAATCTTTCAGAAACTAATGATGTATGGGGTTACAATTTTATTGATGAATAGAACACATCAATATCTCCTACAAAGGGGAGGAATCTGGATTGTCTTCTATGACAGAATATAAATAAATAACTTGATCATATCAATCGTTAAGTGTGACTATATGATAAGCATATAAAAATGCTTATAGGTACGTGACTCATCCCCACAATTTCAAGTAAAACATACATTCCTCTTAATAGAAACAGACTTAAGAAATAGTTAATTTTCCTCTACTTCCAGGGCTCAGGCACATTACTCAACACCAGCTGAGCCATGGTAACCGACTTAATGTTAACACAGAATGAAATGCATTAGCCCGTATTTCTCTAAAATGTCACAAGGGTAAGAGCATGAAAAGGTTCTGATGTGCAGTAGCTAATTAACCCCCAATTAGTCAACCCTGTCCCTGAATATTGCTGATGCAGCCACATCAGTAAAACACAAATGGAATCAAATAATATCACAAAATTTTTGCACTAGCAAGTAGAAGCAAAGAGCAGGATGTGGACTAATCTTTGCAAACAGAATTAAATTATCTCTCAATAGAGAGCAGAAAGGAAAAGACCCCTCAAAGTTAACATAAATGAAACATTTTAATATGATTATGGGACACGCCAAATAAAATTTAATAGCTTGTTACATGATTTCTAGTAAGAAGCACTCTGAGAGGAAAAAGGTCAAAGAGTTTGTATTCATCACTATTATTCTCCCATTTCCTCTGAGCTTCCAATTTTCCAATCATATACATACGCTACAGAATAGCTGATTTGAAGCACTGGAGAGGAAGTGTTATTTTCAAATCCACTTTCTGACAAACACCTTTCAACCTCATATTTCAGAGACACTGTGAGAAAGTAAAATGAAATGATAATGGATAGGAGGTGGTCCTGGGGACCGTAAATCAAACAGGACAGACAGCTGGATGATTCAAGTCATGACTATCTTTTTAAAAACCCTGAAAAAAATCCAAGAATTTTTTCTTTTTAATTACACACCTATACTGGCAAGCTCAGTCTAGCTAAGAAAAACAATAGTAATGTCAAATCAATACCAGTTGGAAATGAACAGCTCTATGAGCTGCGAGACAGCATATAATCAACTAAAAAAAAAAAAAAATCTTCTTGATTTTTTTTAAAAATTTAATTTAATGGAAAAAGTTTTGTTTTTTTTTTACCTGATAGGTGCACCTTTGGCCTGTGCTGGTCTCAAGAGTACAGTTATCGTAGTAGCAGTTTCATTGAGAGATGCATCGACTCCTTCGTAGTCCGGTAAAGTGGGAGCTGATTAATGTTGAGTGGGAAGGAAAAGAACGAGAAACATATCAGTGAAAACATTTTGAATTTTCATGAGATTGTGTCTGTTCACAATATAGGACAAAGCCACAATCTTCATCAGCTATGTGAGTCTTTTTTAATGATTTTCCAGTCAGGCACATTCTTTTACTAAAGCATGAATGGGACTTCACCAACAATTGATAACCCCATCCCTAAGTGTTCCCCCACAAATCATGATACCCATCAAGCTAAACCAGGTTTATTCAAGAAGGACAGAAACAGAGAGAAGAGGTCCCTGCCAAGAAACCCTAAGACTACAAAATCCCATTTTGGCCTTGCTCTTTCTACCTTACAAACAACTATATTCACCGTCTTGCAGACCCAACATCTACCACCCCTCTTTTTCCTCCTCTAACAATTTAAGAACCTTTCACATTTCCTCTTAAACGTCATGGGAAACCATGCCAATACCAACCAGACTGCAGGAGAACTGGGCTTGGATAGATGTGCATCTGTGGGCTAGAACTGGATGGAGGAGTCTATTTCCATGCCCATGTTTCCTTCCACTTGTTACAATAGATGGCCAAGCTGCTCATGAATCAGTTTCTGAGCCATGGCAGGTTTCAGACCAGGGTATTAAGAAAAAACAAAATCAAAGTCAATACTAGAAGCAGTTCAGGAACTGATTCACTAACGGACTGGCTGCTAGGCCTTTGTGGCAGCAGTATTTGTTGTGGGTTGGATGGCTGGTGCCGGTGATCACTTCAGCCATCCAACTTTAACCTGCTGCCACAAACCTACTACAGTCCTCACTGGTTGCTGACTTCAGCTCTAGTGCAAGGAAAGAAACAGGATTTTCTGTGACTCAGAAAATAATAGATTTCTACTAAATTTCTACTAGATTTCTACTAATCTTTGACAAGCTTGAAAACAGTCTGCACTTTTTTTTTAATATGTGGCTATACTTTTATAAAATTGTAAATGATACTTGTATATTTCAAAATGAACTTTCATTAAAAAGATGTTTTCTAGCAGGATGTCAATCATTTAAGTCATAATAATTTTATGATAATATATCAATAGATAGAAGAGCAATGAAAGATTAAAAGCCTTGCTTAATTAGTCCCAGATTCTAGATGAACACAGAAATTGCTCTTATTTCAGGAAATTTTGTTTTATAGAAATAATGTTCATTTAAAAATTATTATTTACACCACATTCTCTAGGATCACAGCACTCACTTGTAAGCATGGTTGAAAGGAATTATTTCACTCATTAAAATAAAGCTAGCATTTCCTGAAACATGTATTGCTTCACAAAAAGTATCAGTTACGCAGAGTGAAACTAGACAACAGTTCAGCATAAAACAAGATGAAAAAAAACAGGCTGAAATTCAGATACAAAGGGTGTCACAGCCTGCCTGTAAGCTTTCCTGGTATTAACTACGTTTTCATCAACTGACAGACCCATACTGTGTCTAGAAAGTGTGGTAGACTGGATTCTGGACAAAATTACCAAAATTTCTGGGTGGAAAAAGAGGGCATATCTAAAGAAGCCTGAACACATCGTAAACCTAAATAATCCAAACATGCTGACGTGCTTATTCCTCAAAATACTGAAATGGCTGGGGGACAAAAATGCTAGCAAGATATTACATAGTTACACCTTTTTTTTTCCCCTCCTACAAAGAGAAGACAAATATGTAAGTACTACACCACCATTACCCCTGAAAGTTTATGAACTGGAATTTGTTGTGAGGAAACACAAGGACTTTAAAAGAACCTGAGTAAAATATCAGGCTTCAAAACAACCTAATAGCTAGATAAACAGAACAGAACATGTCATTTGGGGTTTTTTTTGTGGTTTGGTTGGGTTTTTTTGAAGGGATTGGGGTGCTAGTACTTACATGCTGGGATGGAATTCAAGAAATTGTTCCACTTAACTATGACAACTAGAGCATTTCACTTGCTACATAATTCAAGGAGCTCTGCCCTGAATTTTCTCACATTTTGATTTCTGTGCATGTTTTGGGAACTGGGTGAGGAGACCAGGTGAGTATTTTCCCACAGAATAGTAGACGCATTCCAAAACATTATTAACCTCCCTTTACAGAGCAATATAAGTTTCGTTATGGCAGATAATAAGGAAAATAGCCTGCTTTGTGCTGCTTACATTTCTAAATGACTGACTACTTTGATCTCTGCCAAGCTCTGAAGTAGCCATGTCATAAAATCAACAGTCTCTCTAGATATAGTATTGACTTATCTTCTGCTATCAACTGCATAAGCTGCTATCTTATTTTTTGAGAATACTGAAATTGAAGAAAATGAAAATACTAAAGCATTTCATTTGGCACTACTTTCTTCTGGGGTTTGCAGTGCATTATTAAGGTGAATATCGTCAATCCTGGTGCACTGCAGTAAGTGAATAAAGCCATGAGGAAGCAGACCTATACGGCAAAAGAAATTCACACCTCCTCCCAATCGCCCCATTTCTGTTATAGCTGTGGGCTGCTAAGCAGTGTCACCTTGAATAAGTCACTTAATTTCCCGCATCTGACTTTACTAATCTGCAAAACAAATATAGTGCTTAGTGACCTGTGGAGTGCTGAAAGTCTTGATTAGTTAAAGTTTATACAGCACTTCAAAATCTTTAGTTGAAAAGTACAAGATTATACAAAATCAGTTGACAACTACGGGTGTGCAATTTCCACCTCGTGCAAGGATTTATCCCTGAACCTATGCTACTGCTTGGCAAATACGCTCAAAAACATTTTTAGTAATACAGTTTCACAATATGATAGGATTTTTTGGGAGTTTTTTTCTTTCACACTTCCCGATTTTTCAAGTCTTACAAAAAAATGCCCTCCAAAACCTTATATAAACCAGTGAACATGCACACACTCACACTTCTGTTTTTTACCTGAGATGTTGGTTGTTACATTGATCGTGGTTGCTGGTCCAAACCCTTTGATGGTGCTTGCACGTATGAAAAACTGGTAAGTAGTACCAGGATGCAAGTGTGAGAAGATGTGGTGTGTGCTGTTCCACAGCTTCGACACAGTTTGCGGAGGTCCTGCGACTGGAACTGCAGGATCAAACGACCGTATACTGCCATAGCTGACCTGTGAAAACAATTATTTTTGTAACAGTTGTTACAGTTTTTGGCACAGGGGGATTAGGTTAGCTTGGCTGGAAAGGGAATAAAAGGCACATGCTTATCTAGCTACCCAGCTACCTTGGGGATACCATGAGGACTTGACGTGTATTATTGTAGAGTCTGCTTCACTTGAAAGGCTATGCAGGTCTCCTTCATCTCTCTCTCTTTGTGATTTTAGTTCATGTATGGAAAATTTCACTGTTACATTTAAGTTAGGACATTCCCACCATCCTCCCCATCTCCACTAAACCCCTTTATTTTTCACTTTCTGTAATATATTTCCCTCTCCTCTTCTAATAATCATATTTAAATGCTGTCCAAACCAAGATAATATATTTAAAACCAGTAATGATATATTAATGTACTGGTTTTGACTGGAATAGAGTTAATTTTCTTGATAGCAGCTGGTATGGTGCTGTGTTTTAGATCTGTGATTAAAACACAAAGCTCCTGCTTCTGCCCTTCCAATTGTCCCCCAGACCCATTGTGGGGGAGTGAGCGAGCGAGCGGCTGACTGGGGCTGAGCTGCCCACCAGGGTTAACCCACACTATTTATAGAACTTTGTTAGCATTAAATAGATAAACAAACAGATTTAAGGCGTTTTGTTTGGTTAGTTGATTTGTCTTTCTCCCATAATTGACTAGTACACAAAATTATATCCTCTGTTCCTTTAAAAAAGGAGCGCTGGAGAGGATGGTGTTTGCTCTTCAAATCAGCTCATGTTTCCTGTCAGCCTCCTGTGGAGGTCCCCAGAAGGGTCATATATTAAATACACTTTAAATAGAATATATATGGAGGTTTCCTTGCAGGGTGATATCTAAAGATCTGACAAAGCTAAAAAACATTGCTCCAAATTTAATAACCATCTTACTTTTCATGTAACATTCTCTTCCAACAAGAAGATTTCATAGATCATAGCTGTCATGGCTTCAGCTGGGATGGAATTAATGTTCTTCCTAGTAGCTGGTATAGGGCTGTGTTTTGGATTTAGTATGAGAATAATGTTGATAACACACTAATGTTTTAGATGTTGCTAAATAGTGCTCACACTAGTCAAGGACATTTGAGCTTCTCATGCCCTGACAGCAAGAAGCTGGGAGGGGACACAGCCAGGACAGCTGACCCAAAGAGGCCAAAGTGATATTCCATACCATACGACTTCATACACAATATATAAACTGGGGGGAGTTGGATGGGGGTGCCCTGGCTCTGGGCATCAGTCAGCAGGTGGTGAGCAATTGTATTGTGCATCACTTATTTTGTCTATTCTAGTATTAATTTTTTTATTCTCCTCCCTGTCCTGCGGGAGAGGCGTGAGCAAGCGGCTGTGTGGTGCTTAGCTGCTGGCTGGGGTTAAAACATGACAGAAGGGTGTATAGTAATGATACAAGATTTTTAAAACTAGCACCTCCCACGTGGATTGTAATATTGTTGTACTCACATGCCAAAGTCACTTGACAGGACTGGCCAGCCAACAACATATGCACCATAATTATGATTTTTGAGTATCTAATCACTATACAAAATCCAGTATTCCGTAAATGAAAGCAGCATAACTGAATAGCTGCCTACAGAATAAACACCCACCGTCAGCCACCCCTCTTGCTGCACATTCCCAGCCCTATCCTATGCTTGTTAGCTATTTAATGATTACCTCATACTGAGTAATGATGCCATTTGGATCCACAGGTTCCTTCCAGTTGAGGAAGATCTTATCTTCAAAAGGAGTTCCTTTCACTGACTTGGCAGGTATAGGGCCTGGCACTAGAAACAAAATAAAACTTTTAAAAATAGGAAATTCAAAAGACAGTAAAATAAAGAGACGACAGAACATCCTATTAAACTCAAAAGTGAGCGCGGGTCTATTTTTATTAATATTCATTCGCATGCAAAAGGCAGCGGTAGAGAGTATGAAAAGGCACTTCAAAGTGTATTTTGTCATTTGCAGCACAGACAGAGCATGAAGTTGAAACATTATCCCCACATATGGTTTTCAAAACTTCATGCAAAGTCAAATTGTCTTGTAGTATAGCCAGGGGAAACAGTTCAAGCTATATTGCGACTTCAGGGAACATCACTGAACTCTGTAATAAGCGTTATCTTAGGACAAGGACTACATGGTTTTAAAATCCTTTTAAAAAGAAAAAAATCAAAGGCAAGGAAGAGCATCTGTTATACAGCATCTTCCAAATGAGGGAAATGCTGACAAAAGAGTTCTCAGTCACCCCTTCTCATGATTTGGGGTTTTAGAAGAAATCCTCATTTAAAGATGGGGCACGGGGCACATGCGCCAGCTCAGCTGCTGCTTCCTTCTGCCACTGACGTGCTCGTGCTGCAGAAGGATCAAAAACTGCTAAACTGCTTACTTCAAATCTTTCCAATACGAGACATTTTCAAAGCTTTGAACTGAACCACGCTAAGATGACCCTACTTTCTTACTTTAAGTGGAACCAATATCCCTACTGTAATAACAAGTCTGAAGTGTCACCTCGGGCCTCTGCCTGAGCGATTCACAGTACCTGGTAATCCCACCCATACCAGGCGGCAGCGCTTAGTTATCTCCCATTTCAGCTTACAAGGTATTTTTGCCTACATGTACGTCTCCTTTTTAACCACGGCAGCTCACCTAGATTTGAACCCATACATGCTGAAGGAAGGGGATAAAGATAAGAGGGTGCCTGAAGAAACCCGGAACCCAAAGAAACGCCGCCCCTCTCCTCTCCCCCCTGCAAAAGCCAAAGTTGCCCAAATCTGCAGTCTCTTTCAAACTAAAACGTTACTTCTATTTAATACATTGACACAGATTTCTCTTCCTTTCTTAATCAGCCTATTTTCTTCAATGCAACTTTCAGTGAGCCTCACGCATGACATTTCTCGGATATTAATTATCAAAGCAGAATGAAGTTTTACAAAGAGTGAAAATAAATTAAAACCTGCTGGATCAAAGGAAATGCCAGGCACTATGCTAGCAGCACCAAGGAGTGAGTGGCCTGTCCCAATGGTGGGATTTATTTCAGTCCACATGGAAGCTATAAGTGATGATCTGATCCTTGGTACAAACAACATAATTTGGCACATTAATAATAAATTAATGGAGTCAAAAAAGCCCACAAGTAAACAGATGAGAGCTTCACAGAAACTGTTCATCCATCTGTCAAGCAAAGACTTAGAAGTAGTTAACTAAAATCATACACTGCTGCTTTGCTTCAGTGTCCCGATACAGACTGGGCAGTGGATGACGGCTGACATGCTGTGACAGCCCCTGTGTGCTCCAGTAGCATTCAGACACTTGCTGTAGGCACTGCTTTGTTTTTCAGAGGAAAAAACTGTTTTTCTTCTCTACCTCTCAAATGAGGTATGAATATACCCTGACGCACATGACACTTTCCCTGGAAGATGCGTGCGCGCGTGCATACATGTACCTCTGTGTTTGGGAGAGAACACAGGAATGCACCGGGGCAAGCACACAGAATATGAAATTTGACATTAAAACACACTAAAGCATGTGAGGTAAATAGAAAACAGACACAATTGCTCAAAAACCTGCAAAACACTTTCTGCATGGTGCTTTTAAAGAACGTACTTCTTATTCAACTGAAACTGGGTGCAGGGCTGTAAGTTTTAGGGTTGCTTAAAGCCTCCTGTGTTTTCTGTTTAAACACCCAAGAGGAAGAAGCCTCCAGGCTCATCACATTGCATGATGGTATTTTCTTCTTCTGCAATATAAAATTCCTTGCTTGTGACAGCAGCAGCAATGTTAAACTGACTGGAACTACATGATCCCAGTTAGTTTCATGCTTCTCTTCCCACTGTCACGAGAAGGGCACAAGAACAGAAGCTACCACAGTGATGAGCAGCTTGCTGGGAATCCCAGTAAAAATAAGGTCAGAACGTAAAAGACAGCAAAAGTGTCTAGAAAAAGAGAACAGTAATTCCCACAAACCTCACCCACCCCAGCAAATTCACCAAAAATGAAGCATGGGATCAGATTAAATTATTTGAGAGCTCAACTGGAATTAAAACAAAGAAACAAATAAGAGTTCAAATGCCTAGAAAAAGGAATATACATTAATTTTAGTTTGAAGGATGTGTTCTGGCGGGTCTGAAGTTATCTCTTCCCTTCCATTTTTTCAGCTCAACCACAGTAAAAATCTCTTTTATTTGCACAGCTTTATCAAAGGGCAAAGGGAAGCATGGAAAGAGAAAAGCAGGAGCAAGAATTTGCTTAAAGATCAGAGTATCTGTGAGCAGGCCCAGAGATTCATCAGTCAGGTTAGTCAAAGCCTAAACTTCCACATTTGTGTTTTTATGTCTTTGTCCTTGGGTGAGTTATTAGTTACAAAAAGAAATTTTAAAAAGGTTGAAAGTAGTAAAAAAACCCCCTAACCTCAAACTGAAAAACCTCAAACAAAGAAACAAAAAAAGCACCAAAAGAACAACAGCAAGGTAACCTGTTGGTAACACTATTCTGAAGAATCAAACTGCATCTTTCTATGCAGGCAGCCGTTGCTGTCTATTCCCTACGACTCCCAGTAGGACTCCATGGGACTTAAGAAATACCTTAAACTTCATCTTTCTAAAGCAGCATTCCCTTTTATACAACATTTAGCAAGGACTCAGGTGAGAAACAGCCAGGCTAATATCACCCTTGTGCAGCTAACAGCTTTCAGAAGGCTCCTCACAAACAGCCCGAAGGTCTTTCTTCAGGCTTGCGTGTCCATCTCCGGAAGTCCCACGGCTCACCACAGCACCTCTTCACTGCCTTCTCAACTCCCGTTCTTCGTCCCACATGCGCTCTCGCGCTTCCCTGTGGGCTTACGGACAGTCAATACTAAATCGAAACACTCAAGACTATTACCAGTGTATATTAAGGTGAAATACATTACTTAAGATTCCCTAGCAATGGTCAGGTACCTGAATAATTCAAAAAGTGTAAGTAGGCACTAGAGGAGCTGGACTCAAACCTTTTGGCCTCCGCACCCTCTCTCTAAAAAGATTCTGGTCCCATTGATTTTCTTTCCATCTGCTGACCTTATGAAGTGTGACCCCACCATCTCTCAGTGACAACAGTAAAGACTCTTTCTTTCACATGCATTATTCTATGCTAAACTTCCAACAGGTCAAGATTTACGCTTAGCTGAAGAAGTGAAGTCATTTAGGTGGGTTTAACTGTATGGGTTTCAGAAGAGATTTTGAACTTAAGCAAAAACAAAATATCATTTTCCCTTCCTTCCTTCCTGCCTTCCTTCCTTCCTGCCTTCCTTCCTTCCTGCCTTCCTTCCTTCCTGCCTTCCTTCCTTCCTGCCTTCCTTCCTTCCTGCCTTCCTTCCTTCCTGCCTTCCTTCCTTCCTGCCTTCCTTCCTTCCTGCCTTCCTTCCTTCCTGCCTTCCTTCCTTCCTGCCTTCCTTCCTTCCTGCCTTCCTTCCTTCCTGCCTTCCTTCCTTCCTGCCTTCCTTCCTTCCTGCCTTCCTTCCTTCCTGCCTTCCTTCCTTCCTGCCTTCCTTCCTTCCTGCCTTCCTTCCTTCCTGCCTTCCTTCCTTCCTTCCATAAAACCCACATGTACATAAAAGTTATGTAAAACAAATTCAAAGGGAATTTCAACAAGGTTTTATAGTGGAAACATCACAAGCTCTTCTTTCATGATTTACATGCATCTCCAGAGCCCTTTTAATGAAACTATATATTCCTATAGTGAATAGCTGATAATCTTTTCTTCTAAGTATGTACATCACGTACTTCTTCTTCTTCTAATCTTTGACCATCAAGTACGGGATGGTGGACTTTTATAAATACTATGCATATTAAAAGCACAAACCATCAATCTAACATCAGACCAAGTCATTTTAGAGCCACATATTTGCACTAAATTATGTCACAGTCACAAATAAATTGTTACTCACAAATAGTGTCACTTAAACCTTGTTCTACACTAACTTAACGGGAAATTTATATTACAATACATTCCTTCTGGAAGAACTACGTATTAACTGACACCAACCACTATAAAAATGAATTTATATTGCTTCAGGTTTCCTGCTACAAAATAATGAAAGTGCATGTAAACAGAGTGTTTTTATTATTATTATACTCCGTGAAAGCCATGCAGAGTATTATTATGCTATATGGTAAAGCGTATGTGCAGATAGATATATGCCAGGCTACACTGGGAAAAATTCCTTTGTGGTACTCAAAAAGTAAACTGTATCAGCAGCAAACTTACAGCCTTTCTCTGAAAGTAGAAGCTCATTTTCAGGAGATGGTGACAGTCAATCTCTTCTACTGTTTAAGTGTTGCAAGCAATTAAAATGGCCCACCTTTCCATTTGCTTGTTCTGAGGTATTTACCATTTTAACTATATGCTTTGTTACAACTTGAGACTAAGGCTTAAACGGAAGCAAATTTTATATAATAAAAAGGAAAAAACCATCACAATTGCTATTACTAGTCTTTACCATGACAGTATTTACACCAAAGGCGGTGACAAAAAAAGTTGTCTTTGGAAACGGCTCAAGTGGCACCATTTGCAGTGAAGACGACAATGCTATTGAGAAGAAAACCGACTGTGCATTAACAGCCTCCTTCGGCGCACGTGCTGCTTGCTTAACCATCTCTCCCGGCGGAGCTGGGCTGGAGTGGGCACCCTGGGAGGTGGCGGGGTGCTGCCCCCCCCAGGTGGTGGGCAGCAGAGGGGGGCACCAGGCCGTGGTCCCCGGGTGAAAGCCCACAGCCCTGCACAGGTCGGCGTCACCCACCTGGGACCGCTG